TAGAGCAGAGCATGCTGGGTAAACTGCCATCTCTCTCCCCTCCCTGCTCCACAAGCCTCCAGAGGACAGACCCAGTGGTGCAGTGCTGTTTAGAAGGGGACACGGAGAAAGAGGACGGCGCGGAGCAGGATATGACTGCAGGTGAAATGTCGAGTGTACGTCGAGGAATTGAAATGAGACCAAATATTTATACGGAAAGCTGCGGAGGAGAAGACACACTAGTTGAGGAGTTAAAGAGCCATGCAGTGACAGCGCAGTGGTGTGGGAGCTCCACCGGAGACCAGAGAAGAGCAAGACATGGGTCAGCTTTAATTAAACTCTATTAAAGCGATCAACACCCACAGGAACCTGCTGAGCACTGTTGTACAAGACAAACCACTGTTATCACTCTGATCTTCATCCTCAGATAGAGAATAGATGCAGAAAACTGAGCTAAACAGGTTTTTACAGTAGGCAAGCTCTCATCCTGCCAGCAGTCCTGTACCACCCAGGTCAACACATGGCAGCAGGCGTCTATCATTAGAGGGTTAGCATCTGGCTCGTCCCTGACAGCGTCGTGGCAGAGTAAGAGGCTTTAACTGCAGTATGTGTGTGATATGATCTCCTTCCGTCTGCACTGTCACAGCTGTCCAACAGCACTGCCCACTGCTGTCACCATAGAGACCACCAGACTGCCACACATCTCTCTTTCCATCTGTCCAAGTCATTTGAAAGTCATTTCCATCTGACCTTTGCTTGCACTTCCTTAAAGGAACAGTTCACCCAAAAATATAATTTCTGTCATCATTTACTCACCCTCAAATGCTTTTCAGCAAAAATCAAGCATTTAGCTCGCATAGCATACTACAATTTATAATGACCACATAGTGGTAAAAAAACATAATAAAAGTGGTTATAATAGCTATATTCCATATCTTGACCAAATAATACCTGTTCTTTAACATATATATTTTTGGTTCCACAGAAGAGAGGTTTGGAACGAGATGACTACAGAATTATCATTTTCAAGTGAACTGATTCTTTAAAACAGCAGGTTACCTGAGTTTGGCTCTACGTCTTCCAGCAACACAGAGTTAAAAGCCTTTTTTTTAATTCTTCCCGAGTTCAAAGGCAGAGTCACTTCCTCCATGTGCTGACGAGAGAAGACGTGACTCAGAAATGCAGGCGTCCTTCAAAATCCCCCCCCCGAGAGGGCCAAACACTGACAAACCCAATCGTTCACAGGCTGCCAATGCTCAGACGCTTCAGATCTCCTCATTAACTCACACCAATTCAGTAAAGGCTTATCAGCAGCAGAGACAGCTATAATCAGCAATGCTTCTATATTGATTCATTGAAAAGTCCTACAATTTAAACTACTTAAAAAAAAAAAAAATGGCTTCACTAGAGCTTACTGTTAAAAATAATGAAATAATAAATCAGATATTTTAAATATTTATAAAATGTACATTTAAATATGTAAAAAATGTATATAAAAAAATAACCATAATAGAAACATGAAACTACCGTCATGGCTGTCGCCGGCCAATGAGTTGGTGTTTTTTCAATGTATGCTTCAGACACGGGTCACGACGAGGCGTTCCCCATAGCGACCCCTAGAGGACGCAGTTCGAAGTTCCCATGAAAGGGAACCCAATCGTTCACAGGCTGCCAATGCTCAGACGCTTCAGATCTCCTCATTAACTCACACCAATTCAGTAAAGGCTTATCAGCAGCAGAGACAGCTATAATCAGCAATGCTTCTATATTGATTCATTGAAAAGTCCTACAATTTAAACTACTTAAAAAAAAAAAAAATGGCTTCACTAGAGCTTACTGTTAAAAATAATGAAATAATAAATCAGATATTTTAAATATTTATAAAATGTACATTCAAATATTTTTTTAATAACAAACATAAAACTACTTACTAAATAGTATTAAAATATGGGTTCACTAGAGCGTATTATTAAAAATAATTAAATAATAAATATTTGAATGTGTATACAATTTAAATATATGAATGTAATATTTAAATATAAATAAAAACATTACAAATATTTTTAAAATAACAAGCATAAAACTACTTACTAAATATTAAAATAGTATGGGTTCACTTCAGCTTATTATTAAAAACAATTAAATAAAAATAATATGATAAAATATTAATAACAAATATTACATTTAATTATAACCATATTTTTTAAAATGTTAATTTTGACTGCACTTCATTTATATGCACAAAAGACTAGCATGATACAATTGCATGCCAACTTTAAAAACCTGATAACCTTTAGACAATTTATGCAAGGATATCAGAGAAATTAGTCTCGGCATATATATTAATATTATGCGCATTTAATAGCAATTAATTTTAAATGAATATATTAAATTCAAGGAAAGCAGCCTTAATTTTATACACTTACACACAAAAGCATATGTGATGAGCACATGTGAGTGTGATCTTCTCTTCCACAATTCATCCACACAATGGAGTGTGGATTCTGTCTGTCCTAATTTAGCTTCCCATCTACCTGTGAATCTCCTTAGTATTCCTTACTATTTAGTATTGCACAAATCGAACAGATTTTTACTGATGGAATCTGATGATCTTCTTAGAAGCAGAGAAATAGTTGGTCCATGTTGGTCTGTTGTTCTGACTCAGTTTGCTTTCTGCTGTAGGGCACGTTTAGCAGATGCAGTTCACGGGCTTGACACATAATTGAACAGCGATCAATAACAGGAGCTTTGCATATGTTTAGAAAGGCCATCACAGATGCTCAAGCAACATGTTGTTCAGAGAGCAACAGTGAAGTTCAATATATTCTGCACACTTAGTGACACAGCCTTTGAGAGAACGCAGATGTTTTTAATACTCTTTATGCCATCTGTGCTGTCCTGAGGCCAAGAGACGAGTGTTAGCGGTGAAGACACAACTCAGTCAGACCGGGAAAAAATCCCTGGGTTTATGTCGGCCTCGCCAATGCTGAAATCTGACAATGAGCCAACTCATTTTTTATTAAATTTGATATTTTCCTATTTTACTTTTTTTTAAATATTAAATAATTTTTTTTTTTTTTTATATTTATCAGTAGAATTTTATAACACATAAAAAAAAATGTTGCTACATTTCTGTTTTTTTTTAGTAGTTTGTTGGCTTGCCAGCTGTAAAAAACATATTTGGCTATATTGTATTGTAAACTTTAAAATATAATAAAAATCGTAAAAATCTTCTTAAAAAAAATCACATACTAATCCGCCAGTGTTCTCAAATTTAAAACATCAGCCAAAACATCAATCAAATAAATTTAAATTAATTAAATTAAAATAAAATTATATTAAATTAAAATAAAATAAAATAAAATAAATTCAAGTCTTACAAAAATTGTTTGGACACAAAAACTTGCTATACCTATTTTAAAACTATTTTATAATCCACCATGCAAAATAAAATGTAAAAATCAAGTTTTAGAAAAATTGTTGTGAAAGTGTAATAAAATGTACAATTATTTTCTTCAAAAAAAAAAAATCACATACTAATCCAACAGTGTTCTCAAAAAAGTAAAACATCAGCCAAAGCATTGATCAAATAAATTTGTTTGGACACAAAAACCTACTATACCTATTTTACACATTTTATCATCCACCATGCAAAATAAAACAAAATAACATAACATAAAATAATAATAATTTTAATAAAATGATTAACCAAAGTTGAAGAAACCAACCGTTTTCTTCAATAAACAGTGTGATTTGAGATATTTTTTGCACAAACGGTGCAGGTAGAGTTACAATCCTTTGGCTTATGGATTTTTTTAACCATTAGTATGAGCAATATTAACCGATGCTTGTGTTATTCTCATCATTTTTTAGAAAACACATTGTGCAATATTGCATGTCTTGTGTTGCTAACTGTGTCAATACATTTGAGAAAGCACTTGAACTGTCACTATTATTCATGCTTTCAAATGAATGGCACATGCCACGCCTGCAAACCAGCAATCAATCTGGGAATCAATATCCACTGATTAGAGGTGACCACCAAGGAGTCCACATGTGTGTGTGTGTGTGTGTGTGTGCGCGTGCTAGTGCTGCAATTCCATTCCAACTCCTTTGCACCTTCATGCAGCTTGTTTTTTTCACCGTTGCTTTCTAGTCTCCTCTCTTTCCTCATCCTTCTCTTATCGATCCCTTGCTTTCATTGCCTCCCTACTCAAACCGATTGCACTTTAAAACCTCATTTTCCCTCCTCTCTCTTTCAGTGGCCTCCTCTGTCTCTCTCTCTCATATAGTCCACATTACACACGCTCTCCAGCACACCTAATCTCCACGTGAATGCGTCCCACAGAACAAACCAGCTATTTTACACCAGCAGGAGCGAGGGGGGTTTGGAAAGGAGGTGCGTTCTCCATTCTGCTCTCCCCGCGTGTCTCATCTACAGAAACATGAAATAGGATTTTCTTGCAGGAGATGATTTACGCATCCCCAGATATGCTTCCCCCACGCCCAGATGTGGGCATGCAATGCTGCCTGTGGTATCCATATTCAATACAAACATTTAAATAATTGAATCCAGGGTTTAAAAATAGAAAATGAAGATAAAGCCAAGAAAAACAAATGGTTGAATTATATTAAAATTTATATTTTCTTCAGCAAGGATTGTGATGGTTTATGTTGATGTTTTTGGTTATTTCTACAAAATTAGATTGTTTTGTGCAGAATATATGTATGTGAATTATATGCAAAACTGCAAATGCCTATAATACAATTCTATGTTTTAAAGAAATGTTGTTGTGAATGTAAAATTTGAGCAGAAAAACATGACAGGAAGGTTAAATGGAAAATGTACAGACCCATCATCACTTGTTATTAAAGGACATTCATATCTGCACACCCTCTCTTGTAGAGAATAAGCCCATCATACCAGATATAACGTACTAATGAATTATAAAACTTGCAGAATACGTTTTGGATAGATGTCATTTGGATAACATGAATAAACGATACGTGATATCTCTTACCGTGAGATGTCAGAGAGATGCTGATGCTCCGGGAGGCTGATGTTAAATCCTGCTCGTCTCTGGACCCTCACACACCTTTATTATGAGAAGCGGTCCAGCCCCTTTTCTCTTCTGATTGGTCAGGCTTAACGTTCGTTTTAAATTGCCATTATTTTTGACAGATTTTTTTTTTTTGTCTTTTATTTGTTACCTTACGCGTGCTAATTTTGTATGAAATTAATCTTGTTGCATTAAATAGAACATCTAAAATAAATAAATAAATAATATTCAAACAGACGCCAGCCTTTTGACTGCACGTCGTGAGGTTAAAAAATAGCGGTTATGGGTGTTGCAGTTCTTTGTCAAGCTTCTGCGTGTAGCCTTGCACCGTTTGAGGTCTTCTAAAGGACTACAGAACGTCACACCTCGCGTCGTTCTATCCCCTAGCTGTTCGCTGATTGGCTCTCATTGACACGTAGCCCCGCCCCTCCTTCTTTAGATTGGTCATGCAGAAAACTTCCGTCTTTAGCGAGCGATTCCACACAGAAAGGAAAATATTCAAAGGAGTTACCGAGCTAATCAGCAGTCAAATAAACATCTGTACGAGCTTCACACAGGTAGGAGAGGCTGAAAACACACTTTTTAATTTTAACCTGTAATTAACGGTGTTCATTTCGCTGCGATTTCTATGAAAATAATTTGGTTGGGACTAGCAGTCAAGTAGCTAGCAGAGACTTTAGCAATCCAGCTAATCAGACCCTCACAATAGATCAGAAACTAAGAAAAGTATTAATGTTTAAATTTGATTGATTATATGTTTTGTCCAATGCCAGGTAGCCCATCTCAGATCAGTATTTTCCAGGCTTCAAGCTGTAATAATGTAGAGTAAATCAGTTTTAAAGACAGCAGAAGTAGGCCTGCTGAAGACTAAGACCAACTTGAATTAGTCAACAATCAGGTTTAGAATGACAAAATTGACCATGAAATAGCCTTTGAACTTATACCAATCAGTAATCAGAATCAGATTAGGTAGCTGTTATATCATTACAAATGCTGAAGCTTGATATCATAGATCTATTTCAGATCAGACATTAGAATCAGGCAGTTGTTACAGTGTTTCACTCAACTGCAGTTTTGATAAATATGATGACGTCACATTTGGGTGTGAACCTGAAACATCTTGATATCTTGAATCAGTCTGGCAGTTGTTTACGGCGTTGGATTTGATAAATGTTTTTATTTTTATTTTGTAGCTAAGCTGTCACTGAGTTTGTGTTTCTGTCGATCATCAGATCTCTCTTGTGAATGAAATTGATTTTTTTTTAAATGTTTTGATAACCCTCAAAATTGATATCCACTTGTATAAGAAGCAGATAAAGTTCAATGTATAATGATCCGTTTATATTGTGTGAGAAAAATGGCTAGACTGATGGAAAATAGAAGGAAACCTGAGTTGCAGAAGATATACAGAATAATATAGAAACATTTTCATGGCATTTGTAGTTAACTCATTTCTAACTATTGATTATTGATCTTCGAAGATGTGTGTGTGTATATAGATAAATAGATAGATAGATACAATTATTATTATTGCCATATATATAATCTTGAGTGGAAGAATTGTTTGTTTTTAATCACATTAGAATAAATTCTCAAGGTTTTTGTTGGTGTGGAAAATGATTTGTTACATCTACATTTAGTCATTTAGCAGACGCTTTTTTCCAAAGCGACTTACAAATGAGGAATGACTCAAATGTCATTTCGACAAAATTATTTGTTGAATGACTACTTGAATAATTGTGTTGATTCATAACTGTAATATGTATTAAGCCCTGATTTGAGCCAGCTGGTCAACATCAGATTGAAAAACCATCGTATTCTGACATGTTTAAAATCATATTTATTTATGAAAGCTGATTTTAGTAGTCAACTGATGTGTTTTTTCATTGTCTATACACTGTAAAAAAAATTCCGTAAAATTTACGGTAAAAAAACAGCAGCTGTGGTTGCCGGAATTTTACCGTAAAAAATACGGTAGCAACGTTTTAGGTTTTACGGTTTTAACTTAAATTTACAGTTAAATACCGTAATTTCATTAACTGATATAATGTTAATATACCAACCTATTGAAGTACTGAAATCTGTTTTGCACCTTTGTAATACACTGATAACCACCAAATCCAGGTGGTGATGAGAAAGTCACATGATGAAACAAAGCCCATCACAAGCAGCTTTTAAATAATAACATATATAGAAGGTGCACAGTGTCATTCACACAAACACCAAACACCATCATGGTAACACACGTTAAACTGAAATAATGCAATAAACATTCATTTAACAACATTAGGTGTAACACACAACCCTAATATACAAAACTGATAAGAAAAAACATAGTTATTTAAACAAAAAAACATCAAATTTGAAATGTAACGCAGGGAATTCTGGGAATGTCAATTTACGGTTATTCACTGTACCGTTAAATTCCGGTCATTTTTTTACAGTGTAGAGCAAAGTGGCTTACACAGTGGCAGTACTTATATGATTACAATAATGTGATGTACAAAAAAATACTGAAAGAAGTATTATTTACTCAAAATTCACTAACGGAAATTAGGGATGCTCCGATCCGCCTTTTTTGCCTCCGATACCTAGGGTTCGGTATTGGCCGATACCGATTCCGATCCGATACCAGTGAAGTTTTTTTCCCTCATTTAAATAAATGTAGAATTTATATATCTCTGTGTGTGGAACTGATAATCATTCTTTCACAATCTACTAGATACAGACTACTTCATTATAAAGAAAAATTAAATAAACAAATATGAAAAAATATAGGCCTATGTATATTTACATAACTGCATCACATATAATTATTTAATTAAATCATAGCGTTTGTGAATTCACAGTTATGCTTAATTATAATTTTGAAGCGGGTTTAATATATCACGAGGCCTTGGAAAACAGTCTAATAATGTGTTTTATGGATTCTCGTTCGTGAAATGCGCCACTTCCGGTATTTTGCCAGTTAGTCAACGCAGGCAAAATGAAGTCGAGGATTTTTTAAAGTCGAATAGAATCGACGAATCGCGGCAGACCTACTCTATAGCGCAGAATGAAAAATTCATATTGGTGGCATATTGGCGGCATATTCGCCGATACGATATATCTGCGACAGGCTCATATCGGCCAATAAAAT